TCGGTTGATATTCAGAGCAGATTGTGCTTGATCACTGGGTCACGTCTGTCCTTGACATGTCTGCTCTCTGTAAACAGTGTGAGCCTGGAGCCAAATCAGACGGCTGCAGTCTGACTGAGGCACCTGTCTTTAACACACAGAGACTTCCACCACCTGCTCCCAGTCTGCTGCCTCTTCCTCATCCTTCCCAATATACAATCTGAGCTTAAATACATGCATGCATACAAATCCAGGATCAGACCAGGCTAAGACTATAGGTCTAAACATCTAGCAATGCTTTCTCGAAATGGGCATGTGGCAATGGCAAGTTGTCATCTAGAACTAAAAGAACAATGCAAACCAAAGTGTACAAATGTTGTCGAAAGAAAACGAGAAACCAGAATGCAAATTACAAAATCAACATTTGAGCAGGTGTCCATCGGCCCAAAGCGTTTAAGAACCTATTTGGATCAGTATTCTTGAAGTTAGGGTTAGGAGAGCATTCTCGCTTTCTTTATGATTATCAAAAATGAAGCAGGGAATGGACCATCAACCCTTCTCATAAGCGAAAAAATTTTTGAACGCCTTTTTATACTATTGCCTGTAAATGAGCATCAGACACCTATGGAACAAGCTGTGAAAGTGTCAGTCCAGGTGCCGCCATATAAACAGTAGGTTTTCTATACATAATTAGGTGAAGTTAGAAAATGTGAAAACTAAAGCGAGACAAAACAATTGTTTGGCTTGTACTTCAACTTTAACCTTGTGAAAGTTTTAAATGATATGTCTCTGAATAACCTCACGAGATGTAAGCACAGCAAATGTATTTTTAATCATGGACTTTGTCAACTTACTTTAAAGTTTAATTGTGTTTGGATCATGTTTGTTTGATATAAATTGTTCTACGCCACTGAATCCTCTTTGTAAAATAAAAAAGGATCGTCACGAAAGGATCGTGAACCAGAGCTCGAAGATCATTGGGCAGCCACAAAGATCTCTCCAGTGTTTGTTCGAGGAGCGCTTGGGAAAGAAGGCTGAGCTCATCATTAAAGATGCTTCCCATCCGCTAAACCCAAAGTTTGAACTTCTGCCGTCAGGACGGAGATATCGAGTGATATCAGCTAAGAAAAACATTTTTAAAAACTCCTTTGTGCCCAGAGCAGTGAAAGCGGTAAACACTCTTAAGCTTTGAGCAGTCCTGAGCTTGACTCTTGTCTTTAGGCCGGAGGTGGCCTTGTTGGTTTGTTCTTCCAATTGTTCTGTGAATGTAGTGCCACATGATATTGTGCTGGATGTGTGTCTTTTATATATTTTAAGGTGATAACCAAAGGCAATTTTCCACCTTGGTGGACAATAAAGTTTTCTTATTCTTATTCTTATTATTATATCAGAGTCAGAGCTTTGGCAACTTGAATGTAGGGGAATGGAGATGGCTCAAGCATGCAAGTCTAACTCAAAGTTTTAGATAATTACGCATATGTAATTATCTCTTGTGGGGGAATTCAAGTTATCATCAGTCGCTTGTACAGAAAACACAGACAATAGACAGATAAATGTAAAAATCATTGATACAGTTCAATTACATTTATATTTGTGTAGCGCTGTATCACAACAGTAGCTATCTTGGAGGAGTTGTCGATTCACCAACACAGATCAAACACAAGATGGAATGATTAAAAAACACATTCTGCTTGATAAATGTGTGGTCACGTATCCATCTAATTTTATTTTATTATTTCACAACCTGCTCAGGGACACGACAGGTGTAATTTAGTGCTGCTGCTTCAAGCTGGTCCAATACATCTCTCCTCTTGGCAAATGTTTTTTGTACACTGTCCTTGTAAAAATAAAAATCATACCATAGATGCACAAGAGGCAGATGACCAATGTCCATAAATATTAATACTGTAAATGTCAATAAATGTCCTGGATTATCACCACTGTCCTTAGACCCTCCTGCATCGGCAAGGAACAACTCAAATAGTACAAATATACACAATCTAAAACATGTCAGCCAGGAATACAACCTCTCATATACAAGGTTCATTGTAGAAGCTGACAGCAGCAGAGAGAAAGACCTAAAGCGTTCTGTTCTGAAGTGTGTATTGAGGAAGTGGGTGTTTCTGCAGCTTCTCTGAGCTCCACTGCTGAGTGTCGGAGGCTGTAGCTGCTTAGAAGAGGCTGGGGTTCCTGCATCTGTCCAACACTGAAGCGACTCTGACCATGATGCTCCAACCACTGGTCCAGTCTGCTTCACTGTTCTGAAAAAAAGAGCCTGTTCTGACCAGTGGGGACGGGTCTCGGCTCGAAAGAGTCCATGAGTAGGTTGCACTGACATGCCTGTAATCTGACTCCTTGCTGGTGGTGGTGTACCCGGAAACAGAATTATCCAATGAATTCTTACGACACCATTTTTCCTCTCCAAAACTGCTTTACAGGATGGTCCAAAAGTCGGCTTTTGGCTCCACTCTACGTTCCAGATGCGTGTTTAGCCGCTGTGGACTTTTGAATGAACGCTGAATGAATTGCATGTGTCAGGCTCCTGTTTGCTAACGCATGGGCACACAAATGTTTTCACCATTTTCCTGCGGGAGGGGCTACTCGAGTGCATTTTGAAAAAGTTGGCAGGAGGGAAAAGTGATCAGACATAAGTTTCAACGGTGGAGATAGGCTCCACTACGTCTGCTAATATTTACATTCTATAAGTCTGACCTGGGTCCAATTGAAAAACTTCTTTGTGTTGATGTTCTAGATTTGAATCTTCTTTTTTGTTGTTGATATTCCTCGGTGTACATGTCCACTCAATCAATGTCATATCAATTTATGTAATAATAATAATAATAATGCATCGGTTTTATCTAGCGTTTTTTTGGACACTCAAAGACGCTTGACATGTCATTAATCATTCACTCCATACACGGTGGTGATAAACTACTACTGTAGCCACAGCTGCCCTGGGGCACACTGACAGAAGCGAGGCAACCAGTATGTGCCATCGGCCAATCCGACCACCACCAACCATTCACACCAGACAATGTGAAATCTGAAGTGTTTTGCCTAAGGACACAACGACCGTTTGACACTTTACAGCCGCAGCCGCCCCACTGTGGCACCTGGTGTTTCCAGAGGTTAAGTGTCTTGCCAAGGACACAACAACAGCATACATCAGTGGAGAAAGTTTTGTGGTGGCCTCGAACCCAAGACCAATGCTCTACCAACTGAGCCACTGTAGACTGTAGAAAGAGTGTCCTTATGTGAAGGAAAATGTAATTACCAATATATCTTTATGGGGATTTTTAAGTTCTATCATTTCCTGTTTCTCCATAAAAAAGAAGAACATGAGATTACAACTCAACCAAAAACATTCACACAATCAGATTGTGTAACCAATCCATCAGTTCCACTGTGACAAATCTGCTCAAACAGTAGAAACGTCTTTTTTCTATCCACCCCTCTCACCATGGAGCTCATTATGACCACAAAAAACATATTTACTGTATCAACAAGGCCTTTCCCATCTTCATTACCTCCTCATCTGCATAATAGCAAAGACGGCAACTTGTTAGGGACAAAAAGCGTGACATCGTTATGCACAAACCACATGTTTAATTCATTGGGAGCTTCCTGTTGGGGGATTTGGTGGTTTTATAGTGTTTAGCGTTAATTTGCCTTGAAATATCTGTTATTGTCTGCGCTTTAGTAAACAATATATCCGCTAAATGTGCTGACTAATGGATGCATCGAGGGGCCTGAATAGATTTAAATGAGATTGAACATCTCTCCGCGGTCATTGGCCCCAGTCCTTTTTAGAGTGAACAGATTGAGTTACTATAGTATTTATAGACAAATGATCGTGGCCTACCTTCCAATCAATGGGGACACCTCAAGGAGCCTTTTGTATGAGTAGTGGCTAGCATCGCAATCAGTTTTTTTTTGTAATTAATTACTTTGAGTGCAGCCATATGAGTCCTCTCATTGACTTTGGATGCAGGTGTTTTGAGGTTTACCCCAAAACAGCATCTAATCGGCCATTAACATTTCCGCCCAGAATCCACATGTTTTATGAAGCAGAAAAACAAGCTGTTTAATCGCCACTTTTGCTCTCCTATGAAGTCAAATCAAACGCTCAATTTGTCCCCAGGTGTTACCAAGAAACACCAATCTCACACATTTATTCTTAGCTTTTGGGTAGTGCCATGTTATGAATGATGTGATGAGGCACATGCATTTAAGATATCGATCAGTTGAGATATCGCTGGAGAATTATCTTGAAGTTGGTAATCGTTATTGTCATGCAAATGGGGGTCTTTATAATCATCCAAGGAGCAGTGGTAGTTTATAGTTCTGACCTTTGATTTGCACATTGTTACATATGTTTACTCAGCCATCAGACTGTGAACCACTTCCAACTTCTTCTAATTTAAAAACCCATTACATACTGAAATTAGTTTGGCTCTTACAAATCTCATTTTGATTAAATCCTGCTACAAGCCTTGTTTGTGCAAGTTAAAACTTCATCTATACAAAGCTGGAATATTTCAACAAATGGAACAAAATTATACTTCTATAATAATTTCTGTTATGTTATTAAATAAGTTTTATCACTTTTTTTGCTTTTAAATTTGCACCCCTTTGTAAGGTGGTGTTGGGATGAAATTGCATCTGTCCTGCCCTCCATCCTTTGGGGCCACCACTGACTTTCGTGAAAACAGTGTCCATGAGTGCCTATGTAATGAGGGGGGTTTTGATTATTGGAGGCAAAGGAAACGATTGAGTGGTGGACCGAATTAAAACAGTTATGGCAGAGCAGTGGTGTGACCAAAAGAGGACAAAGCAAACTGTTAAAAACAAAATAATTTATTACAATAAATTAAAACAGGGTTAAAAAGTCTTTAAAATGTGATAAAAAGGTCCCGAGCGCAGGGGGGGGCCCTCTTCAGGGAGACCTGTGCACAAAAACAAAAAGGCCGGCAGGAACAATCCTCCACGTTTTGATTTAACGAGGGACAGCGGGCGGGCACTTACACACACGGCAGGGATCCACCCTGCCGCTGCGTCCCTCGAGAGTCAGGCACCGTCTCCTGCTTGCGGTCCAGCTCCGCCCCTGGGCACAAGGACGAAACGGCAGCACCACACAGCCGAACACACAAGCAAGAGACCCCACAAAATGATCTTATAGCACCGCTACAACGACTAGAGGTACTTACAGGCACGGCAGGGATTCACCCTGCCGCTGCGTGTAGTCAACGTCACGGTGCTCTTCCCCGGGTCAGGTGCCTCCTCGGACCGCCGCTCCCCTCTCCACCACGCTCTCTATCACAAGAGCAGAGCCAGTACACAGTATACAAACAAGCTTCGCCAGCTGCTGGGGCCTGAGGCTCTCCTGGTTGCACCAGCTAATCCACAGAACGTTACTCACAGACAAGGCAGAGCTTTCTCGCTCTGCCGCTGCGTGGTTAGGGCTCGCTGGTGCAGGCTGGGTCACTGCTCAGTCCGGTCTTGTAGAGCCGTGGTCTCGAACGCGTTGTCCTCCGTGGCTCCTGTTTACCGTTCCGTTTTCCGTTCCGTTCCGTTCTGTTGCGTTGCCCCCTTCTATCTGTCTCACCTGCCCTTTTATTCTCTGCTCTCCCATCAAGCGCAGGTGCTCTAATTGTGTGGTGCACAGGATTGGGCAACAGCGTCCATGGGGCTCTGCGGCATGTCTCCAGCTGGAGCAGGACTAAAATGCTAAAACACTCATGCATATAAAAACACCACTGCAAACTATAAAACAAAACATGTCCTCTCCCACATGCCGGATCACACCCCCCCACACTTTGTCGTTGGCAGTCCCTGCAACTGCACACAACCTAGTCTCTAAAGCGCGCAGGCGGTTGTCCAAAATTTACACGCACAGAATGGCGGGCTATATTTTCAGGGTCCACGGGTGGCGGCTCAGGTGCTGCAGGTGGAAATCCATAAACAATTGGCAAATCGAATTCTTGTGCTGGAGGGGATTGTTCATTGTGCACCGGGGTTGGTTCCGATGCGAGTGGAGGGGCCGTGCATACCTTCAGCGCATTCCGGTGTACAGTCTGTTCTCGACCACCCTTCTCGGAACGCACTCTATACACAACTCCCGTATCCCCCACACAGTCCAAAATTACATGGGGTGTAGGATCCCACCAAGTCCCAAGCTTACCCCTACCCTCCCTGCGTCTATTTCGCAGCCATACACGTTCACCAGGTACCAGAGGCAAAGCTTTAGCCCTTTTATCAAACTGCTGTTTGTAATGGGAGGCCGAATTAGCTGCTCTTTGACGCGCAAGGTTGTAAGCGAAAGTAAGTCTGTGACGGTGGTCCTTTACCCATCCCTCGGGGTTAAAATGAGGCGTCTGGGAGTCTCTACCCAAGCTGACGTCCACAGGAAGTCGAAGGTGCCTACCAAACATTAAGAATGAGGGGGCATAGCCAGTGGCACTGTGCATTGTGTTATTATAGGCGTGGATCAACTCAGGCAGGTAGTGCTGCCAACAGCGTTGCTTTTCCTCTTCCAGGGAACGAAGCATGTGCAACAGCGTTTGGTTGAACCGTTCGACACTACCATTACCAGCGGGATGATAAGCGGTTGTGCGGCTTTTGGCTATGCCGTACATGTCGCAGAGTTGCTGCATTAGGGCAGACTCAAAATTGGGACCACGGTCAGAATGAAAGCGCGCTGGACAGCCAAACTGCTGTATAATATGCTTCCAAAGCATCTTTACAGTGGTTTGTGCGGACTGATCGGTGGTAGCTATGGCCCACGCAAAACGGGTGAACAGGTCAGTAGCAACGAGGATGTTCTGGTATGTATCGGTGGGTCGGCCTAAAGTCAAAAAGTCTAACCCAATAACTTCAAGCGGATAGGTAGCTGCAATTGGGTGAAGGGGCGCTCTAGGCTCAATGCGGCTTTTCTGCAGGCAACACACAACACATTCTTCCTGTAGCTTGCGTACCTCCCCCTCCATGCCAGGCCAGTAAAACTGCTGCCGAATCCGGGCCAGGGTCTTGTCAGCTCCAGCATGTGCACCAGCCTCGTGAGTCCTTCTCCAGACCTCGTCACACCTGGAACTCGGACACACAACCTGATGGTGCTCCTCGTGAGTTAGGCCATCGACAGAACTGCGATACAGTACATTGTCCTTCACCAACAACCTTTTCCACTGTTTCAGGAGCTTTTGACTTTTAATGGGGAGTGCCAGGCGATCTGAGCAATTAGGGAAGTTTCCCCTGGCGACTAGCTCCTTGACCAGCCGGATATCTGGGTCAGAGAGTTGGTCCGTCTTCCACTCGACATCGGGTATGACCTCGACAGCGCCTGTAGTTGGTCCAGGCACGTGCCTCACAGGGACAGGGAATCTGGACAGTGCATCAGCATTGGTGTTACTTTTACCTGAGCGATACTTTACAGTGTAGTTAAATGAAGCAAGCCGTGCCACCCAGCGTTGCTCCACTGCTCCGAGGTGCGCTGTTTGTAGGTGGGCCAAAGGGTTATTGTCGGTTATTGACCTCCGCTCCTGTAAGAAATTCTTTAAATTTTTCAGTCACGGCCCACTTAAGGGCTAGGAGTTCGATTTTAAAGGAGCTATAGTTAGCATCATTCTGTTCAGTTGGGTGTAGGCTTCTGCTAGCGTATGCAATCACACGTTCATGTCCATTTTGCAGCTGTGATAACACTGCGCCAAGTCCCTGGTTGCTTGCGTCTGTGTATACGATAAAAGGTTTATCGTATTGCGCATAGGCAAGGACTGGGGCCTGTGTGAGGGCAGCTTTCAGGGCATCAAAGGAGGTCTGACACTCTGGGGTCCATACCACCTTTCTAGATTGTGACCTTTTATCAGCTGGAATCCCCGTGAGGAGCCTGTTAAGGGGTCGTGCAATTTTTGCAAATCCAGCTACAAAACGTCTGTAGTACCCTGCTAGACCGAGGAACGCTCTAACCTGTTTAATAGTTGTTGGGACTGGCCACTCCATAACTGCCTCAATCTTTCCAGGGTCGGGTCGCACACCATGCTTGTCCACCACATGTCCAAGAAATGTCACCTCCCTCTGTAGAAGCTTACATTTATCTGGACGCAGTTTCAGCCCATGGCGCCACAGTCTCTCGAACACCTGATCGAGATGCTGGAGGTGGGAAGAAAAGTTTGGAGAGTAAATTATGATGTCGTCCAAATACACCAGTAGCGACTCCGCTATTTGGCCATTTAGACACTGCTGCATTAGTAGCTGGAACGTTGCTGGTGCATTGCAAAGTCCAAACGGCATACGCACAAATTCGTATAGTCCCAGTGGCGTGGTAAAAGCAGTCTTTTCTTGGTCATCCGGGTGCATTTCGACTTGCCAGTAGCCACTGGCAAGGTCTAAAGTAGAGAACCATTCCGACTGACTAAGACTGGTCAGTGTTTCCTCTATTCTGGGCAGTGGAAAAGCGTCCTTGTGGGTTACAGAGTTCAGCTTCCGATAGTCAACGCAAAAGCGCCAGCTGTCGTCTTTTTTACGCACCAATACTATCGGAGCCGCCCAAGGGCTACAACTCTCTTTAACAACACCTTTCTCTAACATACCCGAGAGGAGGGTCTTCACCTCTTTGTACAGCATGGGTGGGATTGGCCGGTACCTTTGCCGAATGGGGGCAGCATCGCCTGTAAGAATCTGATGCTGCACTATGTTAGTCCGACCAAAATCCTCCTCATGCTGTGAAAAAACTTGTTCCCACTTCTGCAGCAGGGCCTTTAGCTCCCTCTGCTGTTGGTCAGAAAGGTCAGGTCTGTTTCTCAACATGCTAGTCCCTTCAGATTGTCCTGGGCGGCTAGGGGAAACTGCACCAACCTCTACTCTGGTGACTACTACGACCCCGTCGTCCTCCAGGGAGAGGGACAAACTATGGGGGCCCTGCACATCCGCTTCCTCAATGTGATACAGTCGGCCTAATTTACTGAACCGCCCTAGGGTAATGTTATAGGGGTGTGGATTACAAACACGCACTGGCACTCTACCTTGTTTAACTTCAACTAGAGCTCTTGCAACCCCAACATCACTGGCGCCCACATCAAGCAGCGGCTCCACAAGGGCACAATGTCCTATTCCGACTGGATTCCTCTTTGTGTGGCCCCACACCACCATCTCACTCTCTGGAGGGACAACAACTTTGCCTTTTGCAGCCAATCTAACAAAATCAACCAGCCCGTCTTCTGCAAGGGAAACTTCAATATGGCGGCAAGTGGCAAATGCATCTCTCCACACTTTCTGGGTTTTAAACTGGGGCAGTCGAGACGACGTGGCAGGGCATTTAAATAGTGTGTCCCAACAGGCCATGATAACATTCATGCCTACAATGAATGGGTGCGTGCACTTCACATCCTCTACAATCACCACCCCTCGCTCAGGGACTTTGACCCCCTCAACCTCTAGGTCAAGCACTGCATAGCCAGTGTATGGTATCTCTAGCCCATTTGCCGCGCTAAGCCTAAACAACGTAGGGGCCTTTCCCAGCTTAGCTTGGGTGAAGTGCTCATTAAAAATGCTTTCCGCCATCAGTGTTACCTGAGACCCAGTGTCTAACAGCCCCTCCAACTGTACACCCTCGACTCTTAACTGTACCTTAGGACACTGACCAACAAACGTTTCTGTGGCCCTGATTGGCAAAAACTGGCCATCTAAACCTGCTGCGCGGACCTCAGCGGCAGGAGTCTCTAGTTTAAAGCTGGTTCAGGGGTTACAACGCCTCTACAGTACCGAGCTATATGGCCTGCTTTCTTACACCGGTTGCAAATGGGCCTACCTTGTGCATCTCGGTCGTTGTACGGTCTGGGTGTGGACTGCCTAGTCCTGGTTGGATTAGGTGGGCTGGGTTGTGGAGAAGCAGTCTGCAGCAGCGGCTTGAGCTCTGCCACTATTTCTTGTGTTATTCCCTTCATTTGCATTTTGACGTCCTCCATGATCTCACGCTTCAATTGCTCCTTCCAATTGGGTTCCTGGGGCAGTCTAGGAGAAGTGTATTGTTTAGATATTACGGAGCATGTTACCTCTGGTTCAGCTCGGCCATACTCCGACGCCAACAGCACAGCCTCTTGGCGAAGGTCTGAAAATTCCAACTCCGGGTTCCGACGAGCAAAAACGTTCAGGGCTTGGGAAAGGGGGCTATCACGGAGCCCCAGCAGCAGCTGGTCTCGCAAGGCACTTTCAGAGGGGAAGTCTTCGCGATCTAAGCGTTTGAGCCTACAATACAATTCACGCAGTCGCAAGATAAAACTTTGAACAGTTTCTTCGGCCTTCTGAGTACAGCTAAAAAATTGTGCCCTCAAAACCGGTATAGGAGTTCGGTCACCATATAAAGAATCCAAGTAGACAAATATTTTTGCCACCTGATCCTTTTCGTCCGCATCTAAAACTGCAACTTGTCGCTTTGCCTCCTCTGCTAGTGCCCCCAATAAAATACCAACTTTCCTTGCCTCTGGTAAGTCCTGGGAACCCAAAAGTCCTTTGATTTGCTCTTTCCAATCACCATATTTTAAATCACCATCTGGCCCTTTAAATTTTGGGAGCCATGGAGCACCAGGGTATACAGGCATCATCATGTTTGCTCTTTTTTGGACACACCAGCTCTTAGGAATGGATCCTGCTCAGCAACGCCAGATTATGTAATGAGGGGGGTTTTGATTATTGGAGGCAAAGGAAACGATTGAGTGGTGGACCGAATTAAAACAGTTATGGCAGAGCAGTGGTGTGACCAAAAGAGGACAGAGCAAACTGTTAAAAACAAAATAATTTATTACAATAAATTAAAACAGGGTTAAAAAGTCTTTAAAATGTGATAAAAAGGTCCCGAGCGCAGGGGGGGCCCTCTTCAGGGAGACCTGTGCACAAAAACAAAAAGGCCGGCAGGAACAATCCTCCACGTTTTGATTTAACGAGGGACAGCGGGCGGGCACTTACACACACGGCAGGAATCCACCCTGCCGCTGCGTCCCTCGAGAGTCAGGCACCGTCTCCTGCTTGCGGTCCAGCTCCGCCCCTGGGCACAAGGACGAAACGGCAGCACCACACAGCCGAACACACAAGCAAGAGACCCCACAAAATGATCTTATAGCACCGCTACAACGACTAGAGGTACTTACAGGCACGGCAGGGATTCACCCTGCCGCTGCCTGTAGTCAACGTCACGGTGCTCTTCCCCGGGTCAGGTGCCTCCTCGGACCGCCGCTCCCCTCTCCACCACGCTCTCTATCACAAGAGCAGAGCCAGTACACAGTATACAAACAAGCTTCGCCAGCTGCTGGGGCCTGAGGCTCTCCTGGTTGCACCAGCTAATCCACAGAACGTTACTCACAGACAAGGCAGAGCTTTCTCGCTCTGCCGCTGCGTGGTTAGGGCTCGCTGGTGCAGGCTGGGTCACTGCTCAGTCCGGTCTTGTAGAGCCGTGGTCTCGAACGCGTTGTCCTCCATGGCTCCTGTTTACCGTTCCGTTTTCCGTTCCGTTCTGTTGCGTTGCCCCCTTCTATCTGTCTCACCTGCCCTTTTATTCTCTGCTCTCCCATCAAGCGCAGGTGCTCTAATTGTGTGGTGCACAGGATTGGGCAACAGCGTCCATGGGGCTCTGCGGCATGTCTCCAGCTGGAGCAGGACTAAAATGCTAAAACACTCATGCATATAAAAACACCACTGCAAACTATAAAACAAAACATGTCCTCTCCCGCATGCCGGATCACACCTACATGCATTATTATTAAGAGTTGTTTGAGAATGTGGTCTCTAGATGGGTGGGTGTGGCAGAGTTATGTATATACTGCATGATATCACATTCAGCATCAATAACAGTTTGACAAAATGATCAGCTTGAGATAAGTAATACATTTTCCAATCCTCCCAACATAGTCTTATAAACCTAAATTATTTGAATACAGGGTTGCATGTTAGATAGTAAGACAAAGGTGTTTATGTTGACCAATGTAAATGTAATTCATTCAGAGCCCACTCAAAGCCCACCCGGACCAAACTTGTGAACAACCCCAGTCCCATGTTTGTAGCCCTCCTCTAGACCGCTATGGAGAATCAGAATCAGAATCATTTTTATTGCCACGTAAGTAACAGGAAGTCACAGACTTGGAAATTGCTTTGGCTCAGTGCAACAGTCAGAAAGAGATAATAAAAATAAAGAATAAAAAACACTTCTAAGGAATACATTTCAATTTAAAATAGAGTTACAGTTACTATTTACAATATACAAGTGCACATGGTGCACAAAATGTAAGGTGACAGCAGTACAGTGAAGTAAAGTGACGTATGATGGGCAGTAAAGTGACTTTATAAAGGGCGGGGGGACAGGTTAAGAAGTGTTCAAGAGTCCAACAGCAGAGAGGAAGAAACTGTTCTTGTGGCGGGAGGTTCTAGTCCTGAACTGAATCTCCTGCCTGAGGGGAGTGGTTGGAATAGTCCATGTGCAGGGTGAGAGGGGTCGGCTGTGATACGACCAGCCCGGCCTCGAGCTCGGGCGACGTACAGGTCCTGCAGCGATGGAAGGCTGCAGCCGATCACTTCCTCTGCAGAGCGCATTGTAGTCTCTGTTTGTCCCTGACTGTGGCTTCAGCGAACCACACGGTGACGGAGGAGGTGAGGATGGACTCGATGATGGCCTTGTAGAAATGCACCAACATCTGTGCAGGCAGCTTGGCTTTCCTGAGCTGCCGCAGGAAGTACATCCTCTGCTGGGCCTTCTTGATGAGGGAGCTGATGATCGGCTCCCACTTGAGGTCCTGGGTGATGGTGGTGCCCAGGAAACGGAAGGACTCCACAGAGGTGATGGGGGAGTCCATCACGGAGGGTGGGGGTGGGGGGACAGTGCTCTTCCTGAAGTCCACAATCATCTCCACTGTCTTCTGGGCGTTCAGCTCCAGGTTGTTACCACTGCACCAGGACACCAGCCGGTCCACCTCCCTCCTGTAGGCGGACTCATCGTTGTTGGAGATGAGTCCAATGAGGGTGGTGTCGTCCGCGAACTTGAGCAGCTTCACGGAGTCGTTGCTGGAGGTGCAGTGGTTGGTGTACAGGGAGAAGAGCAGGGGAGAAAGAACACAGCCCTGTGAACACAGGGCTGTGTACAGGGTCAGTAAATATTCCCACCAGGAGATGGCAGTCACGTGCATTCCATCTAAGTCCTCCTTGTTCCTTCCCTCTCCTTCTGACCTGATGCACACTTCCTGTTTGCTCTCAGGTAGTATGGCCCAGTCCCAATACTTCCACCCTCGCGCCCCTCATTTGCGCGTTCCCGATGATGGGTGCGAGTGCGTAGGGCGTGCCCCTGATCCACACTTCGCCGTAGCCTGCATCTATGCGCACTCTGGCGAAGGATATTGCCCATAATTCTTTGCGGTACAAACCAAAACGTCAGGAAAATGCATCTAAATATAAGTTTTGAAATATACAGTATATGCTGTATGTGTGTCAATAAGTTTTGCTATGTTACTTGGAAAGAAGCATAAACGTCTGATGAAGAATTATGGACATTGTATTTTAACAATTGAATAACTTTTTAAAGCAACCATTCAATTTAAACTTTACACTTAGTACAATAATCTTAGAATGTATAAAAACTGACCAGATAACAGTTAGCTGTATAATTTTAAGTTAAATGTGGGTAACTATCTCAAATTACAAATAACCAATAGACATGTATTTTAACGTGTGTGAAGCAACTCATTTTGTTTCCCACAGCGTTGGACAAAATTACCTTTAATGTTTATAAAGTTTAGGTCTGAAAATGACCATCTCTTGATGAGTCTGACGTATCCTGCACTCAGTGTGCACTGTCCCAATTCCGCCTTTTTTGCACGCTTGTAACCTGCGCACTCAAACAATTGTGTGCACTTCGAATAAATGCACACTTCGTAGAGGTGTGTAGGGTGCAGTGTGGGTCCAATGTACAACGAGATTCAAATAATATATAAAAAGGTTGATCATGGATTGGGTCTGTTTGTGTTGATTGCTCCAATGGGCCGTATTATTAATCTTCCCTTTCATGGAGGTGCATTGTTGTCTTTATATTTAATTTTTAGTTGACACCGCTCTACTACATGAGCAACAGCTGAGTTTGAAAAACACCAAAGAGCAAGAATGTATAATGTATTGTCAGGCCGCACGTTGTTTTGTAATTTTAGTAGTAATATTCAGTACATTGTAAAAAAAAAAAAAAATGTGAAAGCAGAAACCATAGTAACCAACTGTGGAAATGACAGCATACATTTTCAGCCAAAGTACAAGGGCAAAATGGAAACATATAGGATACAGGATGGATACAGTATGTGCTCTGCATAGGGATAAAGATGTCCACCCACGCATATTTATGAGCAATATTGGCATTTTTCAAATCTCCTTTCACATGCATTTTAACGTTCACTCTTTTCGCAATGTATATATATATGTTTTTTATAAGTGCAAGAACGAATAAGATAAATAACGGCTGATTTTTCCCAGTGATAGATACAAGGCAGGAGTGTAGTCGTTTGCAGAAACAAGGCTCATTAAAAGCACTACACTGTTGCAGCTCTGCGCAAAGTCATTTATAAAGGAATGCACTAAAGCTGCAGTTTCACCTCCACTGAAGTCTGGTGAGAACAGGGCTTCTCTGAGAGGTGGAAGACATGACTTAAAACTAATAATAAGAACATTAACAAGAGAGTTCATTTCTTCAACAGATGTGTTCGTAGAATATGTGTGGTTTGAGTGTTTTTCCTCATTCGAGCAAGAAGTTGTAAACGCATGAATGACTATTATTCTCTTACTCCCAACGAACTTCTGTGTTTTCCCTTTGGTAACAATCTCTTCACAGTTCAAGTTGTTTTTATTTTCACAAACATTAAAAAAATTCTGGCATAAATAAACGCTCTAAATGGTAAAACACTAAATCTGTCCATGAAGTTTTAGCGTTCCATAACACTGAAAGAAGTCTCTCAAATGCATCATTAAACTTCCACAAACATGTTTACTTGATTAATTTAATGATAGATGATTTGTTGCAGTTTCAGTCTGTTCAATCTGCCAAGAGGTGAGAGACATCCTTATTGTCTCTGTAGCGCATTTGACCCATCCTTCCAATGTCACTATGGCAACTCGTCAGGAGCTGTAGTTTGTGGAGCCTGGGACCCACCTCCAGATGATGGCGCTCATGCTCTGTCCAGACCTGAAGAATTTAAGGTGCATACTTTGGTTACCTGCTTGTATCCTTCACCAGTGTTGTTCATCCATCCATCCATCTTCTTCCCCTTAATCCATTTCTGGGTCAGGGGGGTGGCAGTCAAAGCTGCACCCAGTACACAGAGCACCAGCCCCTCACTGATCCTCCTGCAGGCTGAGATCTTGCAGCGGGGGCTTCAGACAAAGTGGGGGTAAGTGTCTTGCCCAAGGACACAACAACAGCAGTCATCAGTGGGAGTCATGAAATAGGTCTTGTGGTGGGCTCGAACCCATAACCTTCAGGCTCAAAGGCAAACTGAAGGTCAAAGCTCTACCAACTGAGCCACTGTGTAATTCAATTGCATAAAAAAGTATCCATCCATCTCTGTTTTTCCCCTTTATCCATTTCTGGGTTGGGGTCAATCAGACACCAACCAATACACATAGCACCAGGCTCTAAAGAACAGATAAGTAAAAATAAATAAAAATAAAGGCAAACTCTGCTGTTAAGAAAATGGATCAAATGTTGAAGCTATAACTTGAATCTGATTTGTCAAAACAAAAGTTTAAAAGCTGACGCAAGGAAGTGGAGTCGAGCCTTTAGTATTATGGTTTATAAAGCCACATGTTGTGAGTGTAAGATTCATGCTCACAGAGAAAATCCATAAACTCAGGGGTGACTTCAGAGGAGAAAACGTGTAAACATGTTTACAGCCTGTGCGCAGAACAGTTTGTTTATCAGTGGACTGAGCCAGAGTTCTCATTTCTCCTTAGAAATACTGTTAATTTTATTAGGAGATATCAAAACTCTAGCTCTCTAAAACACATTGAATATTAAGTTAAATAAGTAAACTATAAAAATATTGAGTGAGTGAGGATCTGTGTTGCTTTGTTTCCACAGACTGTAGCGATGCACAAAGTGAATTCACCAGCTCCGTGAAGCCTGATGGGGATGGGCAAAGCTTTACTCTGATTTACTTTGGCTCCATTCACTTGTGTTGAAATGTGAACTCTGATTGGATCATCTGAAAATTGATACATAAATATTATGGATGTCATGTTAAATGATTTAAGAATATCTCCACATTATACTTATCTTCAGAATATGGTTGGTACATGAGACTATTCTCTATCTCAGGAAACGTATAATATCAAGATATACTTTGAAATGCTAAAACAGGAGTCAGGAACCTGTGGCTCTTTTGATGATTGTGTCGGGCTCTCAGGCAAATCTAATTAGGCATTCATAGTAAGAATCTTTCATGCACTGGATTTCCACAGTGATTAACATGACTAATATCTCACTATAAATGTGTTGATCTTGTTTTTAAATCACACATATTCACAGTAAAAGAAAATGTGTATGGCTCCAACAAAAATACATGTTTTAGTCGGATGTATTGGCACAGAGTACCTCTGTGCCAATACATCAAAATATTCCAGTGAAATGTTGTTCTTTGCCTACTCCATAGGGATGTTTTGAGTGTTCAGCTAAACCAGTTTCACTGTTCAGTTTATTTGTTCATTATAATAACATGTTGCCAGACATGAATTAAACAGACTATTCATGATGAAAGAAAATGTTTTTTTTTTTTTATCTCTTACTTCTGTCACATTAGATCAGCTCTTTCAGACAAAAAGTGAAAAAGAGAAGATCAATCTCACTCAGCTTTAAGCCCAACACGTCAAATAGTGACTCACAAGAGTCATTGTACATGTATACAAAAGATAAATATATATGTGTACTGTATATGTGTTATACATATATGTACACACAATATGTATGGGATAAAACCAGTTGGGTATCCCAGTCTAAAGGGACTTTTTCCTTCGATCACAATAACCTACTTGAAAACTTTATCTGGCTTTTGCCAGCGCTTTCCCCGCGTCGCAACAGCTTTGGGTGGCGCCAGAGCGTAAGGAAAGAACAGGCGGCCGATTGTGTTGGGGAAAAAACTAAAAAAAAAAAAAAAACACCTCTTCATAACTCACGGGTAAATCTTCCCACAGAGTCGCTCCACGGGCTCGGGCAGTCTCCACATCCTGCCGCTGGATGCTGAGTGAGGCTTTCCCCGATGCTGGAGGTGCAGACACCACCTGCCAGACCCGCGTTTAACCAACAACACATTTCACTTTCTGGACTTAATTTTTGATTTTGTTTGAAGGGATACGGTGAAGTTGGCAGCCCCGGGATTTTTTCTTCTTCACAAGTGCACGCTGAGGATCGGGACACTTGAAGCGATTTGACGCGTGTGGGGGGCAGAGTCAACAGGATTATTTGACGTCTTATCTACTTCTTCTCATCACTCCATCTACATATACACCACGACCTCTGCTGCACTTGGAATACAGCATCTATAAGGTACACATAAAAAGCAGTCTTCTCTCCTCGCTGTGTGTGAAACGCTGTGAAGTTGAGCTGTGTTTGGATGTATGGCACCCCTTTTACGCACGACGACTGTTGCGCGTAAAGCCATAACATGCGAGGTTGTGACTTTGGCAACAGCTTGGTGCAGGTTCTCACTTGGCTGGCATCTGGCTTCATCCCATATTTTCCTCATATAACACTGTGCGTGAGGTTAAACAGCGTGAAGACTGGTTTTGACACGCCGGAAGGCATCTGTTCAAAGAGAAATTCTATTAGGGTGGCTGCTATATGTGATGATAGCGTCAAATTGTGCAAAAAAGCAATTATCCCAAAGCGATACTTCAAAGTGGGACTTGTTTGACGAAGCACGCATGTCTCTGTGGAAAACAGTATTATTTAGCTCCCTGAAGTCTGTGCCACGTGCTTTTTGCTTCTCTCATACACATGATGGAATAACAAGCCAGTAGCCATCCATATACAAAAATCGATAAACCAGCGCAACATTTGAGGGAAAATCACAGGCGTATCTCCTGCATGTCAAGTATATATCGATGCAGGTCACAGTTTTGCATTCTAATACCAGATCACATGGCACATTATGGCAGCAGGATTCAATTCAATGTATTATTGTGTAGCTCTGTATCACAGCAGCAGTAAGTTGTCACTTCTCCAACATCAGACAAGGTTAATAATACACAAACACATTGGAGCCACTGTCCATAAATGTTCATACATTTTGCTCTCAAATGTCCCAGATCATTGCAGATATATGCCAATTATTTAAATCATTTGGTGTTTCAATTCCAAATGAAACACCAATGTTCATTTTTATAATGAACATTGCAAAAAATAGTTTATTATGTGATGGATAAAATATGTTTACTGCTGACTTTCATTAAATATGGCTTGGATACATGGATGGTATGGGTACACTACACCTCAGTCCTGGATCCATAGCCTGTCCTACCGTGGGAGCGGATCAGCCTCCCTGTGGTTTCTCACTTTTTCCCACTGGGTTTCTGAGTCGTTCCTTGCCAATGCATGTGGATCAGTGATGATCAGGGACTTTTAAAGACATTTATTAACATTAACATTTATGGGCATTGGTCATACTGCCCCCTATGGACCAACGGCTCCTGTGTTTGTTATTAATTGCATCTCCACTGATTCTCTGATCTGTTGGTGATGAATCTTCTGAATTTTGTAAAGTTCTCCAAGACGACTGCTGTCGTGATTTAGGGCTATACAAAATAAATAGAAGGTAAGGTTAAATAGAATTACAACAGAGAGCAGATTGATGTTTGGCCAAAAATGAATATACACGTATCTGGAAGTAAGTAATCTCATCTCCCTCTCTGAAACAATTCTGACTTGAATTTACAATAATATGAATGATAAATGAACAGAAAATCTAAATTTTAGTGTGTGGCCATATCGCCCACCTCTAATATACTGTAATAAAGCTGACAGCCTATGCAAACTGACTGCAGGGTATTTTTATATTAAACCGATTGAGTTTGATGCCTGAGTGCTTTCCAGAAGGTCACTAAACAGAGTGTGCCACTTGGAGCAAGTCTCCTTTTGTGCGCTCCTACAATCTTAGATAATGCTCCATTTGGTTTTACTATCCAAGCCTTGCTTCTATACACTCCTGGTGTATGTATGGGTAATTGTAATTATTGATTTTTGTCTAGTCTAGACTTTTATAGTAGATTACAGTCTTATCTGTGCAAACGCAAACCACACGTATACATTTTTCATTTATTTAAGAGGTTTTTACTGAACTATTACAGTGAGATAAAATGTATTGAACCTATCAAAGCACAGTTCAGACATTCACTCATATATCCCTGTTGTTTGTGTTCTGACAAAAGCTACAGGTTTGCCCTTTGAAGCTTGCAGGGGATACCTCTAAAGACTACTCGTTTGTCAGTGTACATGCAAGGGTCACTTCCCTGGGCATTCAATTCAATTCAAATAACCTTATTTATCCATGAGGAACGTCATTTGCAGACTGAGCACCAGTTGTGATACATAAAAACACAGAAACACAAGATTTAAAACACAATAAAAATGCCAAAATTCCGCATAAAAAAACCAAAAACAAACTGATCACAATCTGCTTCAGCCGAAACCGACCATCTCCCAATCAGCTGCTGTTTAAATGAGCAGTATGTCAAAATCTGGCCAAAAGTCAGAAACCACTGCAACCTCTCCAACTCTTCCTGACTCAGGTTGCCAGATATGCAGACGAATCCAGCTGGGAACAAAATAACTGAATAGACAAGATTTTTGTCAACAAAAAATCTATAACCATTACCTTTATCACAAATGACTCGATAGAAATATTTTATTCCTTGTTTTGGTTTTCATGATTTAAGAATCACAACGAGACCTTCTTTAGTACTTAGGCCAGATGTTACTTTACAGTGACATTAGCTCGATGCTGTGAGTTCTGGCAACTCGGATCACAGGCTTTCTGATTGGTGAAACGGCGGAGGGCGGGACATCGAAATTAAAACAATTACAAGATTTAGTGGCTGTAAAACTTCTTTTGAAATCCAAATATCTGGGCTGAACTACTGAACTACCAGTTAAAGAAGCATTTGAAAAGAGAATGGTTTATTTATGCCTATTGACATTTTTAGGGCCATTTAATGATGACTTGACATGAAGATCTTACATATTCGAATTGATACAATAAGATACACTTTATTGTCCCAATGGAAATGTGTTGTGGGATACAGTGTTGAACAGATCTGCATGAATGAATACAAATAAAAAGGGACATTACAGGGGAAAGTCCACATCAAAACATATAATCGCTCCTGGATAAAAACATTTATATTCATTGTAAATCCAATCCACTTTATTTATATAGGACATGCTATAAAACAAGTAAGTGCTGCATGGATAAAAGTGACGCATTAAAATATAGAAGTCTGCCAGCTTTAAATAAAAAAAAAAAACAGTTGCAAAAAATGAATAGAAATAAACCAATGAGCTATATACATCAATAAACATACACTATAAACACTATAAAATGAAATAAAGAAAACATTTAAAACATCAAATAAATAAAACAGTCGACCACACAACTCACCCAATGTTAAAGGCCAGAGCGTAAATGTGGGTTATAGCAATTGCTAGTTCATTGCCAGTTCATTGCCAGTTCATTGCCAGTTCATTGCCAGTTCATTGCCAGTTCATTGCCAGTTCATTGCCAGTTCATTGCCAGTTCATTGCCAGTTCATTGCCAGTTCATTGCTAGTTCATTGCTAGTTCATTGCCAGTTCATTGCCAGTTCATTGCCAGTTCATTGCCAGTTCATTGCTAGTTCATTGCTAGTTCATTGCCAGTTCATTGTTAGTTCATTGCTGTGGTTGGGAGGAAGCTGGATGTGACCCTTTTCGTTTTGACTTGGAGACCCCCGTACCTACGATGGCAGCAGACTGTAGTGTGAGTGCAGAGCGTGAGAGCTAATACATCCTGTTGATTGCATCACGTGTCCTGAGAAAAGCTACAGGTTTGCCCTTTCCAAGCTCGATTCTACTCTTCTAAAGACCTTACTTGTTCGCCAGCGTACATGCGAGGGTCACTTTCCTCCGCATTTGGGAGACTAGAGGAGAAGGAGGAGGAGGAAGAGGTGGTTTGCGTAGAATCCATTGATATTCTTTGCATGTCCCGCTCCATCTAGGCAGCCCATTGTCACGGGCCGCGCTGTGGGATAGCATCTGATGATTGAAAGCAGCGTGCGCGAGGTGAAAGTCGACCCCGAAAAGAAACTAAAAGGCTCATTATAGTGAAGGTTAAGGATGCTACTTCACGGCTGTCTGTGTAGTGCACCAGGCGCTGTTGGAAAAGAGAGAGTTTTAAAAGCGACCCCTCAGGCAAAGTAAAAGTTTGTGAGGTTTTAGACAATATTGTTGATGTCCAGTCTTCAGCTCTTACCGCGGCTCGTTATGGTATTTGAGAAGTGGGTCAGGATTTGATTTATGTGTGACTCTGGTTGGGAATACACAGGAGGCTGTACTGGTATTGTATGGCTATCTTACTGGTATCCTGGCTGGTATGTTACAGCAGATGTATAAAAGCTAAGGAGGATGTATTCACAAGCTGTCTCGGCCAATTTTGTAATCCATAAAGAATACGTCAGTGCAACATCTATAGACATTTATCAACATTTATAGTCATTGGTCATCTGCCCCTTATGAACCAATGGCTCTATGTGTTTTCTATCATTGCAATTCTTGTGTTTGATTCTCTGATCAATGGTTTTGTTAAGTCCTCCGAGATAACTACTGTTGTGTTTTAGGACTATGCAAGAATAAATTGAATTGAAATGTAAACATGTTATTAAATTATTAGGCAAGGCAAGTTTATTTGTATAGTACAGTTCATACACAAGGCAACTCAAAGAGCTCAACAAAACCAAATCATTTTGTCAGTATTTCTTTTATTTACTTCTGTTTTGCCATGACTTCCATAGAATGAGATTGATACAGATTTTGTTATTTGTCCATTACTTTCCCTTTTTGGCTTAATGGCTTAAAACTGCCTTAAATCTCACACAGAGGCTTGTTTTGTTTGGTTGCCCAAAACACACATTTTATTTTCAAACCACAAAAGAATGAAAGTATGTAATGAAATCCATCAAACTATTTCCTAACTTGCAAAACAGTTTGTATACAGTATGAATGTATTATTTGGCCTTACATGTTTAGGATTTTCCAGACAGAAAAGTGAAAAACAGAGGACCCACTCCCAGGTAGCTCTCCAAAGGATTTAGAAAAAGTAATCTGACTATTTTAGAATGCATTTTTCATTATTATGACTTATGTGGCCATACCTGCATATGAAAGCCAGATCTAAGGGCCTGGTTAAAACTGTGATGGGAGACCTCTGGGAACAACAGGTGCCACAGTGGGGCGGCTGTAAAGTGCCAAACTGTTGTTGTGTCCTTGTGTCTGGTGTGTTGTTAGTTCATTGTTGAGGTGGGGAGGAAGCTGGATCCCTGGAGCCGTGACCCTTTTCATTTTGAGCCCCTGAACCTACAATGGCTCTTACCAATATATTATCTAATTTTTCCCAGGACAGCTTACAAGTGTAGCTTTTTGCCTATTTTGTCTCGGGAAAGTAGCTCTCTGGGTGAAAAAGGTTAGAGACACCTGTTAGACTCGGGACAAACAAAATGTGTATATGAGTTGGGTATTTCTGGGTAAAACGCCCCCAATGCCCAGCCTGTTGTGTGTGTTCTACATGCAACCTGCTCGATTCTCGGTCAGTCAGGCAAAAGAGCATGAAATTGCCAGCCATCTGCAGAATTGAGTCTGTGAGATGCTAGAGAAATAAAGAAGAAAACTAGTGTGTGAGAGAAATATGTGTTTGCTAATGATACCAGATAGAAATGATCCAGACAGTAGCGCTCTGCTTTTAAAGTCATGAAAGGAAATGGGCACAAAAGAGCAACAACAGGAGAGTAACAGATCACAGCAGCCAGGAAAATGAGGTGGGCTTTAAAGAGTGAAGTTGACAAAGTGCAAAAGTTTACAAGTTATTTATGTACTCAGACACTGCTCCGACTGCCACTTGAATAAGAGAAAACCTGGCAAACGTAGATCTTGGCTCATGCGGCTTGGCTTTTTTAAAGGGGGAGTATCCAATGTTTCATCTGTAAAGTTGACCCAATGAAGTAACTTTAAGCAGGTTATATATCTTTCGGTAAATATATGCATTTTTTTAGTGTATTGATTTTGTTTTTGCTGAATAAGTAGTAGTATAAGTACATGGAGGAGAGAGAGTGATGGGAGAGATGGGTGGGGTCAGCAGTAAGTGTGTGTGTGCGTGTGTGAGTGCGTGTGTGTGTGTGTATGCGCGTGTGTGTGTGTCTCATATCCTATGGTAGGGTATTGTATATTACTCTATGTACCTCACAGTTTTATATTTGTATTCAACACCTCTCATTATTTTGTTGAATGAGAGGTGGTTGGTGGTGGTGAGTCTGCTTCATCCAGGGGGCGACAGTGCCTCAGTTGGTAGAAGCTTGGAGCCTGAAGGTTGTGGGTTCGAGCCCACCACGAGACCTTCTACACCGATTCCCACTGATGTTTGTGTCTTTGAGCAAAACACTTAACCCCACTTTGCCTGAGGCCCCGCTGAACGATCAAGGCTGTGTTGTCAGCGACAGCATCATCCTCCTGTAGACTCACCACCTGCAGGAGGATCAGTGCTCTGTGGATTGGGTACAGCTCTAACTGCCACCCCCCGACCCAGAAATGGATTGAAGGCAAGAAAATGTATGGGTAGATGGATTGATGCTTCATTCAACCCCTTTTCAAACCTGTATTATTGTAAATGTATGTGAAATTGTGTTCTGCAGGTGTGAAATAAACTAACTCGAAAAAAGTTCAGCACTCCTGTAGTGATCCTTGCACATGTTCGTACAGGATGAAAGAATAGACCCGACAATAAGTCAATGACATCGCATCAATCGTCCAATTAGCTGAAGTAAATTAGATTTTATGGTCTACACTTTTGAATGGGCTGAGTATCATAGCCTCTTGACATTTGATAACACATATTAATGAATTTCTTGCACCACAAAAGTCTTAACCTGTAGCTGTTGAGTTTATTAATTGGACATTAAGGTTTTTTTGTTGCTTAAATTGTCATTAGTCTGTAGGGAATTCAAGGTTTTAAATGTTTAACACCAGAATGTCTGTATATAGTGGGTTGTATTCATATTTTGTTAAACATTGGCAATGGCTATTAGACTCTGTGCTGTTAAGATATCAAACCACCAAACCCAGTGAGGCCAGTAGGGATGCAATGGGATAATAAGTGCCAATGGATTCCCTCCACTGCGAACACACATACCCAGAAATGTGCAGTGAATAAGTCTCTGTTTAAAAGATCCAAGGTGGAATGTTTGACTACATCTGCCAAAGGGTCATGTTATCAGCAGGGTTTGTGTGTCTGTTTGTTAGTTGGTGAGCAAAATACTGTAAGTTATCCACAGATTTGTACCAAGTTTCCTGCAACGCTTGGAAATGGGACAAGGAGGTGATCCGTAACACCATTGACAAGGGCTTTTCCGGTCTAAATGTATCTATTAGAAAGATATGTATGAACAATTTGGATTCCACCCTGAAGGGCTCAGATCAGATCATCTTTAAATAGAAATCCAGAGATTGGTTGATGGACGCTGAACTGGGCTTAAACTAAAACAAAGCTAACCTGTACCAAACTAATTGATTTTATTGAAACCAATTCAACTACAACTAAAACAATTGGGGAAGAGGTTTTATGACTCTTAAATGACTGGAGAACAATGGTTCACAAGTCCTTTCTATGATGTTATAAATGGATTGATAGTGATTGATGGCAGTGTATAATGCAAATCTGCTTACCATAACCAAATATTATTCCTCATGGTTTTATGTGGTAGGAAATCCCCCAAAATACTTATGAAAAATTACTCATTGAAATTCCGTGACACCATTTCCTTGTCTGACAATTGCCAGATATAGTAAAGTTTGCGTGCATGGAGCAGAGCTGAGAGAAGGCCGTGAGTCAGAAACCAAAGTCATGTTGAAAGCTGATAACTAGAACACAATTAGGTGATAATCATCAGAGCTAAACCTTTGTACTGGATTATTCTTTCTTGTCGTGTGTGAACCCAGGTGAGAGATGACAGGCCGTTCATTTCTCAACGTTGAGAAGAAAAAGTGATGCGTTGGCGCCACTATAGCCGCTGGACGTATGAATGTGTGTCTCCACTGAAGCATGCAAACGAGGGATGATTGCATGTGGGTTATATCCGCATGCAAAGTTTTAAAATTACCAGGAACGGATCGGTCTATGAATATGAACGAGCAGCATATGTATTCAGCGCTCTGGCCATTGTCTTTCTGAAAAGCAATTACATGTTCCAATGTTCCGGGAAGAAGTGTTTGTACATGGGAATAGGAGGTTAAATCAGATTCAAGTCAGTTTATTGAATGCTGCCAAGTAGCATACACTGTGTAACGTTTTCAACCATTAAGGCTCTCGAGGAAATGTGTTGACCATTATCAGCAATTACAACCTCAGATTTCCATGTTTGCTCATCTCGTAACAGCACTTCTCCTGAAATGTTTCATAGTATATGTTTCACATAATATAGTTCATTTATTTCAAATCTGCATGACACATACGTCAACATAAACACATATATGCAAGTACATGGTTGGAAAAGAGGCTTGATGAAGCACTCGTGGGCCCTCACTATTCAATAAAAGAATTGTCTTTACAATAACATACAACAACACAACACAATACAATCAAAGAACAATGCCACACAGCACAATACACTTTTACACAATAAAGCACAACCTTCAATGCTAAGCAACTAAACAACTCGCACACACTCAGACAAGACACCCAAACACTCTCTGACCCTGCACCCCTCTCCCACTACTCTGAGGGCAATAACTCATTATTCAGTTGAAATGAGCTCTGGTTGGTGAGAGATTCCATGTGCAAAGTCCTGATGCTTTTTGGAAGTTGGACCCACCCTCTAGGGAAGCGTGCTTATTGCCTTTCACAAACACTAGGGTACATATTGTTAAACCAGAGATCTTGTAATCAAACTTAAATCCCCCGTCACTGCAGTGTCATTTGTTAAAGGCATAACACAGAGTGACAGCGCTGGT